GAAGAACACCTAATTAATTAGGCCTCATCACATCCAAACAATTGGATCTTGGTGCAATCAAACCTATGCCTCACGTCTGGGGCGTGCTGCAACGATGCGAAACCCCTGTGGCTGTAACATGTGCCCAAGCCTACACTTCCGATTGGAAGGCCCTCAAGGCCGCAACCCAACCCTGAGGTAAATGTAGCCTCTGACAGACAATAATCATGATGGTAATAAGATAATAAGAATGTTACAAATAATAATATTAGTACTAGTACTCATAATAATGAGAAGAACAACTAATCTACGCTATTTCCTACTGTTTGGCTTTGATCAGGGACCCACAGATGAAAAAATGCGAAAGGCTAAGAGGTACTACTGGGGAACCTAGGTAGGCAAACCCAAGAATGCGAAGAGCAGCTACTGAATGGAAAGCGACATCTTCATATGTGGAAGAGTTGTGGCATTTTTGGGCTGATGGTCAACCCGAAGCCTAAGCCCCAATGGTCTGAAACCTGAAATCTCGTAGACTTGCAACCTTAACAGCCCCCTCTGCACCGAACTTCTACGCCATTCATTGCAACTCCCAACGTGGGCACGCCGAGCTGCAGTCTGCCAAGGGGCTGCCGGAGGCCTTGGTCCGCTTTTTGTTGTCTTCGATTTTGTTGTTGTATTTTTGTGGGTGGGCGGAGGGGCAGCACGGGCTTCAGAGTTCAATCACTCAGGGTTTGGGGGACTCCAACTCCAGGGTTCGAGGGTTCGAGGGTCTAAGGACGAGGGTGACGAGGGCAGCTTTTTTTAATTGTGAAACTCAGACGTTGCGATTTCGTGCCTGATGTTTCAGGACTTACGGTCATATTATGGCTGCGGCTCATTTCAAGGTTTTGTACATTCTGGCAGGTGTGCCTGCATACTGCTACTTTGATGTTGGGATTGTGATTGTCTTCCACACTGACCACTCTTGCCATTGACTTGCCTACTGCCTACGGGCCAACTGATGCGGCAAGACGTGAACACACAAACACACACACACACACATACATACACATATACATACATACATACATACATACATCCATCCATCCATCCATCCATCCATCCATCCATCCATGTGTGCGTGCGTGCGTGCGTGCGTGCGTGCGTGCGTGCGTGCGCGCGTACATACATACATATACATACCTACTTACTTACTTACTTACTTACTTACTTACTTACTTACTTACTTACTTACTTACTTACTTACATAGATACATACATAGATACATACATACATACATACATACATACAAACAAATATATGAAACAAACAACTAAATAAACACATAAATAAATAAATAAATATATATATATATATGTATACAACTATTAATATATAAAAATATAAATAGTAATATATATATATATGTTATATTATACTATATATATATACATACATGCACACACTGTGAAAGTGTTAGGAGCATTCTCGGCTGGATTTGGTTGTGCCGTGGTGAAATGTCATGATGCTGGATATATTGATGATGATTACGAAAGTGCGATGACGCACCGCGCCATCACACATACGGAATGAGAGTCTTGTGCCAGGTATATGCCAGACCAAAGGAATGGTATACGATAGCAAAGTGAAATGATCCGTCACGGGTATGGTTTCGGCCCCTTGCTACAGAGGAATGACGTAGCATGAAACGAGATGAAAGGTGAGCGAAGTTGAGTGCCCCGCCAGCTGCCCACGACGGGGCCCAGGCGCCCGCAAAGCAGTTACTTTTTTTGGGGGTTCAGGGGAGAGCTTCGTCGGACGGAGCTCCCCCTGCAAAAAGATGGGTTGTGAACCCCTTGTCCCACGACCGAGGGATGTTCTCTCTCTGACCGACAGACAGACCGACAGACAGACAGACAGACAAACAGACAGACAGACAGACACAGACAGACACAGACAGACACAGACAGACACAGACAGACACAGACAGACACAGACAGACACAGACAGACACAGACAGACACAGAAAGACACAGAGACACAGACACACATAGACAGACACAGACAGACACAGACAGACACAGACAGACAGGCAAACACAGACACACAGAGACACAGAGAGACATAAACAGACACAGAGAGACACAAAGAGACACAGAGAGACGCAGAGAGACGCTGAGAGACGCTGAGAGACACAGACACACACAGAGACACAGACACACACAGAGACACAGACACACACAAGAGACACGGACACACACACACACACACTGTCACACACACACACAGACACACACACACACACAGACAGACTCAGACACACACACACACACAAACACAAACATCCACACATACACACAAAAACACACACACACAGAGACACACACACACACACAGAGACACAGACAAACACACACACACACACAGAAACACGCACTTATTTACTTATTTACTTGCTTACTTATTTATTTACTTACTTTCGCGAAAGGTGAGTGCACCCGTAGTTGGCTTCGGACGCTAATTTCAAACTGCTGCTTGTTGTCCTGTGCTGGCAAGACAACGTGTGATTTGCTTTCCCGAACATGGTCAGACTGCTGCAGCCGTGCATTCGCGCGATCGAAAAGCTGGCTGTGATCACAACTTCCTTTCATGTGAGTTGACTAGGTCTGCACTCCCACAAACTTGCCGCACTTTGCTGAGTCACCAACAGCGAGGTTAACCATACACAGAGAAGATGTTAGATGCTCCAGTATCATGTTGCAGGTACATCCAATGGCATCCCACAGGATATCATCAGTGTCTTCGTTGGTGTTGCACCCCCTGGTTCTGCTGAAGTATCACGAAAACGTCGAATACGTGTCTGTCAAATATGGGCAATGCGCATGTGATGGGACGTGACCCCCATGCACACACAGCCACAGCAGGAACACAAAACGACACACACACACACAACCCACGCACCGACCCACCCACCCACCCACCCACCCACCCACCCACCCACCCACCCACCCACCCACACACACACACACACACACACACTTTTGAAAGGACACGCATTCTCGGTTGGATTTAGTTAAGCAGTGGTGGATGAAGTTGGTATGGTGATGATAACGGAGATGAAGTTTTTGGTGCCATGTATGCCAGACCGACAAAATGGCATACGAAAACAAGTGAGATGATTCGTGAGGGTATGGGGCACAGACACCGGGAATGGCACAGCACGAAGCGAGATGGAGATGAACATGAAGATGAGTGTATCTCCCAGCTGCCTGCGCTGGGGGCGGCGGATACAGGCAGGTACGTTTGCACGGGTTGGGGAGGGGGGTTTTCGTTGACCAGGACCCCCTCCCCACCCCTCCTGGTCCCCTGCAAAAAGATGGAGAATGACCTCCCCTAGTCCATGAACGAGGACCGTTCACTCACTCACTCACTCACTCACTCACTCACTCACTCACTCACTCACTCACTCACTCACTCACTCACTCACCCACACACACACAAACACATACACACACGGGCAGCAGCAGCAGCAGCAGCAAAAGCCAAGACCCCGCCCGCCCCCCGCACCAACAGCAAAAACATAAACAACCCGCCACCGCAGCAACAGGAACAACAAAACAGCAAAACCAAGCACCCTGCCGTGCCAACCAAACAACAAATAATGATACAAGACTCTTAGCATGTGCGTATGTGTGCACACAGCAAATAAGCACGGATGCAAGGTGCCCTGCCATCTGCAGCATCTTGCATCTTGCCTGTGATGCTTCCGGCTGTGCGGGCGCTTCGCAGCAGCATCGATGTGGCTGGGCATGGAATGGACCCTGACAAGGATTGTGCTTGCTCCTCTGGAATGGTTCTCGTCCGAAGGTGAAGGCATCTCGGGGGTGCGGGACCAGTTGACGCCAAATCGCTCCGCTATAGCATTTGCAAGCATTCACCGTATCCACAAGCGTTCACAAGCATTCACAAGTGCACAAAGCTTTCGCAAAACGGTGCGAGTTTCGCATGGGTCCTGCATTTCGGCGGTCTAAGAGGAAATTTCAGCCAAGGCACATCCAGGCGTGTCGTTGTGCGTCCTGCAGCCAAAGAACTCCTGTTGCTTGCGCTGTCGTTTCATCTCATGTCTTGGGAGAGCAAGAAAAACAAGAGACCGCAGAGTGAGCCTGAAGAAATTGTCAAACAAAAAAAGACACGAACTTTTTCAGATTCTAGATTCCGGGAAAGACGATCTTTCGCAGCTTACAGAGAAGTTCGTCTTTGTGATGTCGGATCAGGCGATCCAGCAGGTGAGGTCTCAGAATTTGTTGGAACATTTCCCGAAAGTGATCACGACTCAGGTGTTTGCCGTGGCAAGCATCTCAACCCTGGCATGGAAGAAAGGCGCGGTGAATCTGGCACGGGCAGAGACATGCCATGCGATTTATGGCCAGCTGCCTTTGTGTTGTGTGCAGGACAGAGCCTAGCAGCCGGTCTGAATGCACGCCACCGTCTCGAGCCGGTATCACAAGCACACAGTTGAGTCCCTAAGTCGAGCATTCAGGAGGCGAGGATGATGTTGTCAGTTGGTTAGAGCGAGCCGATGCATTGCTCGGCTACCGTCAGTGCGGTCAGGAAAAGGTGCGTGCTAGACAGCCGGGAGGTCTAGATAGGGAATTCTTTTAGACGCCCCTCTGGGCCCAGGTTCCCCAATGATGGAGAGCCAGTTTACCCAGGCGCCGCCGAACAAGGCGCGGTGCCTCGAAAGCGTCCTAAGATGCAATTAGCTGTGTTGCCAAAATAATCTGTCGTGTGCCTGATGAGATGAGCTGCATCAGGCCATGCAAATCAAGAGTCCCACGCCGCGCACTCAGCCATAGTCTCTCTTTGAAAGACGGGGTTAGAATCTTTGACAAGCTCCAGACGCCCGCATGGCAGGCTCAAATATTTACAGTAGTTATCCTCTTTGATTGGCCTTCTGTTATCCGCTAGTTTGTTTGAACGGTGGTGAAATATCATTCAATGCAAACCGGTTCAACACAAGGCCGCGTGCAAGCTAGTTCAGGACGGGTGAAGTGCTGAACCCGGAGACGCTGAAGCGCCAGACATCGCAAGCAAGCCCACATCTCAGGAGACGACAATGCTTGAAGATCTTCCTCTCTTGCTCTCTTAATATTTCATGCGGTTTCCGGGCTTCAGGGATCTCCGTAACTGGTGCAGAATGCCATTGGCATGCACTCCTCACGGTTTTATCCCGAGCATGTGCCCCTGCCCAGGAGCGAAGCACAGAGATTTGCAGAAAGACATTTTTTCGTGCCTCTCCTGCCTGTGCAAGGTGAACAAAATCATTCTCCTCAAGGCTGGCTGGGCTACAGCTGCGCTAGATGTTCTGTGATGTGACTTGAGAGAAGCGTTTTTTTGCAGGAGATGGCTCAGATGTGCAGGAGTCTGCAACGAGGACTGCGACAGCGGCCAAGGATTGCCTCTCAGTGCGGACAAACTGGACGGCAGGTAGTCATTGACACCCCGCGCAGTAGCAGCTGGTGGATGGAAATCATGCTTTTGTATGCTTCAATGGCACAAGCTCATTCCAAATGGATAAGTCGAGGTGAAGGCGTTTGATGCACGAGCTCGTGCAGAATTCAGAGCTACCGCAGCATTGGCTTCGAGTCGACTGCCGTTGGCTCGGATGTCGTAGCAAGTGCCAAGTATTCCAAGCAGGAAACGACCAAGTCAAAACCAAAGGCGCTCCATGAAGCTTCGCCCAGATCACTCGACCTTCAGCGCTTTAAACGTCGGGCACTTGTTGTCTTTTTCGCGCTGTTCGGCTTCCATGTAGGTCACGCCTGAGGTGGACACCCTGCCTAGCAAGCCAAAGAGCTCGCCCTTGGCTTCCACTTGCGAAGGCACCTCTGCACTGCGACCTCTCTCCATGTCTTCCGCCTGAGCTCTCCTTGGCCCACGAGAGCGGCACCTCCATGACCACACAAGTGACATGACTCAGCGTAGAGGTTGTGTTCCACATGCATGCCGGAAACTCGTCGGGCTCATAGCGACTCGGCACTCGCAGCGGTCTGAGATCCATACGAGGCCGGGGCTGAACTGAGCGGCTAAAGCGTTTCATTTCTGCTTTCCGAACGGAGCGGTGCTCACAGTGACAGGAGTTTTTCTTAGCAACAATGGCCGACGAGGACTGCATCACTCCAGCAATGCAGACTTAGTGTGGGACCTCTCCTTTGGTGCAGAGATCGCTGAATGCCATCACTTCGGGCAGTTGTCCGTGGCTGTGGCAGTGCCTGTGTGGGACCTGTCCCCTGCATGCATGCACTCATGCGCACCTGTCACGTGTGTCATTTGTGTTCAGACAGGCTGCCTTTGAGAACCACGCGAGCGACAGCTAGCAGGTAGAGCACCCGAGGCTGAACGGTAACCAAAAGGAGTAAGGTAGAGGGACAAGCAACGGACGAGCTGCCTCAGAGCGAGGCATGCAAGCCTGGCCGCATTGAGTCGTGAAGTCTGTGTTTCCAGCCCCGAAGCAAAAAGGGACACGTTGAGGTCTCTGAGTGGGAAGGGGCCTGCATCCGTTGGAACGGACTTACAGAAAAACGCTTTCTGTTTGGGCCGGAGGGCCCTGTCATCCGCAAAAGACCAGCTTTACTCGTGGCGACATCTGGTGAATCTGGTGGTGGTCTCTGATGCCTGTTCGCGTCTTGGATTCCAGCATGGCAGACCATTGCAGAACGGCGAAGTTCACAGGATCTGCCCGACTTCGACGAGGAGGAGAACAAGAAAGAGGAGGAGAAGGCCGACGGCGGCGGACGAAAAATAGATTTGTGTTAGGATAGTTTCAGGGACTTCAGGTGAACTCTAGGCTTCATAGCGATATGGGCGTGCTTTGTCTTTCGGGCCCTCACTCGACTGGCATGGCAAGCAAATTGGGCCACAGTCTTGGATGCAGTCCCGGTAATTACGCCGTCTACCGATGCTTGGGTCAGAGATGACCTTCACGGGGAGGCGTCCACAATCTCTTCACCTGCCGACTCGGTTTGCCGTGTTTTCTGCAGTGGCATAACTCCCGCACGTGGACTTCGGAGAAATTGATTCTAGTTGTGCTCCAGGTCCTTCCAAGGGTTCATTTCCGAATCCTACGTTTTCTGATGCAACACATGGAAGCTTGGCAAACTTGGCCAAAACCTTGAGGCGAGGATTTGGAATCGCTTTTTGCTCGCCGGGCGCATTGCCAGATCCTGCTGAAATCGTGGGAAACAGTTCGCGGCGCCCAAGTTATGAATCTGCGAAGCTGAAGGGTTCTCTTGCTACACGGCATCGCAACCGAAGTGGGGATATAACCTCGCATGGGATGTGATGTCTGGATCGTGTCCCAGCATAGCCGTCAAGAGAAGTTTCATGGTCTACGCCTTAGGTTCGAGGTGCTCTCGTGCTCCTGCAATCTCTGAGCAGGCTAATGGAGATGCCAAAAAGGCTTCGGCGGCTGGAATGCACGCGCGCAGCTCTCAGCATTCCTTGCTTGGTATTTCTGCAGTTGCGCTGCAAAGTCGAGGTCCGGCTTCAAGGACTTCCTGCTGAAACCCGAGCTCCTCCGCGCCATCGTCGACTGCGGCTTCGAACATCCCTCGGAGGCTCGACGGCCGCTGAACAAATCGACAGTGCATCGCAGCCTCGTGCCAGGTTCAGCACGAGTGCATCCCTCAGGCCGGCTGCGCTCATTATCTTGCTGCGCCGTTGCGGTGTATCCGACTGTTAGGTATCTGCCCCACATAGCTGTTGCGTGCTAGTGCAACATGTTTGACAGACGTTCCATCAAGCTTCACACACGGCTGTGTGCCAGTCCCAACATCACAGGATTTGGTAGCGCAACAGCATATGTAGACATTCGTAATCTCAGTTCCAGCTCAATGATCGCTGCTTCCGTGCCGGGTCCTTGTGGTCGTCTGAAGTGGGTACTGCTCTCGGCACTGCTTGCTGGGGTCGTCCTTCAGATCTGGCTGTTGGCTAAGCCGCTTTCTGCAGCAAACGTCACGGAAGTAGCCTCGGCTCACCTGAAGGTTCTATTGGTGAGAACTGTCGGTCAGTCAGAGTGGCGATCTGTGCAAGCCGACATCAGGTCTCTGGCGAGGAAGTCACTATCTATCCACAGTGCAAACACGTCGCATTGCTTGACCAACTTCACCACTTTGTATCGCTCTCAGACTCTCGATGGTTTTTCCACTGAGCTACCGCCAGATCTATGGCCGACGCATCTTCTGTGCCGGGATTCAAGTGTAAAGAAACTGACCGTCGAGTTGCACGTGCTGCTCATCGTCTACGATGTTTACGTTACGGACACAGTCTTGTCATATTTGCAGCGCGCTGTGAAGGAACTGAACTTGACAGTGGTCCGTTCAACTGGGAGCCGCAAGCTAGGAGCCTGGTTTAAACATTTAACGCCGTCGACCGTGTCCAACTACGATTACATATGGTTGGCAGATGGCGATGTGAAAGTGTCTGCCATTAACTGGTTCTCTTTCTGGGCCCACATGCTGTATTTTAAGCCTTTGATTGCGCAGCCGAGTATTATCGGACACCTCGAGAAATTCCAAGACCTCCCGAGAGGCAGTGATCACCCTATTCTCAATCTCCCATTTGACAAGCGCACCAATGTTTGGAACACGGATGTGACACTCATTGCGGCAGAAGTTGGCATAGTCGAGATGATGGCGGCGGTCCTTACGGCAGAAACATGGCTTGCTGTGAGGAGTGATCTTGCTGCAAACAGTAAGGTCATGGAACTGATTGCCAAAGGAGCCACATGGTGCATAGACACGAAATGGTGTGAGGTGGCTCAAGGTTTGCGTGGCAGTGGCATTCGCGAAGCGGATGTCGCCGTTGGTGCTGAGGCCAAGGAGTTGTACCGTGAGAGAAACTACTCATACGGCCCTGGCCCCGGAGAAAGGAGATGGAGAGACCTCTCGGCTCTTCCAGCCTGTGTGGTTTTCTATCAGACGCCAGTTATCCACCAAAATCGGCAAACTCTGGACAAGTCAGGGTTCACTCACATCAACAAGGAGCTGTGCTCCGAACTCCCATCTGGTGTGCCGAATATTGCCAGGCGTGCCTTTCGGGCTTTTTATCAATCTGATTTTGAGGTGTCGTGAGTGGCATGATTGATCAACGGCATAGTTAAGTCATGTCAAGTCTAGACGGACGTGGCTCGCCGTGCTACGAGTGTGAGGCCGCGTGCCGCTGTTCTATCGCTGACCCACAGGTACAAGAGTTGCAAAAGTGTAGAAGGAGCGGAAGGACTCGATGCATGCCGAAAAGTGGACCTGAAGGCAGCAGAAGAGGAAGTCAACGAGAAGCGGGAGAGAACTCGAGAGATGCCTCCGAAGGATGATGCGTGTCGGCTTTGATCCCGAAGCGGGTCCGCTAAACTTGTGGTGGCACTTGCTGGCATTTCTGGTTGTCACCATGATGGAAGTCTGGAAACGACGTCTTGCTGATCTTTGAGATCTTGGTTTTGTGATGAATGCGCCAACTCGGAAGCGTATCAGTCCTCCGGGTGTGGGTTCTGCTGAGCATGTTGAGGTCTGATATCAGATCGCAGCAGCTTGTGATTCGGGCGCGTGGCGCCAATGAAGCATATTGGCCCAGCAGAGCAAGCAGACGGAATCAAAATGCTTCAGCCCTACACGACATGTCTTCAACGTAGATAATCACATAGGATGCGGAATGCGGGCTCGTCGTTATTTCCTGGGTGAGATCGGATCATGATCATGCAGGGCCTCTCTGCTTACGGTCCGGAACGAGAGAGAGAGAGCAGTCTTCTGCCTATTTTCGGATATTTTCGGTACATCCACACAGTGGCGTGGGTTTAAGTCTGACACAAAGCCTCTTGAGTTTCGCTGAATTGTAGGCCATTCTGGGCACGGATGTCCTGTGTCAAGCCAAGCAACTGGGCTGCAGCCTTTCGGCGGAGTAGCCCTTCTCTTGCAAGCCGCTCCAAGAGGTCTGGCATGGGGAAGACAGCGGTCTTCGTCCTGGCTTGCTTGCAGCAGATCGACTCTTCGGAGAAGGCCAGGAGAAGCAGGTGCTTTCTCCGCGGCCTCAGGGATGTGCCCCTTGATGTCAGGCTGTGAAGACCCTGGTCGTTTGCCACACCCGAGAGTTGGCCTACCAGGCCCAGACGGTGCATGCTTTCGGAGCCTGCCTTTTTTGTCAGAGTGAAATCTGCCCCCTGGCCAGATCAAGCAAGAGTTCGAGCGCTTCTCCAAGTATTTCCCGGTGCGATCCCTGGCAATCATGAGCTGAGGTCATCCAAGTGCTGCAAGTGGAGAATCGTAGCTGCAGGCCGTAAAATCAGCGGTGGTCTACGGAGGGACGCCTATGTCCACCGACAAAGACATGCTGAAGGCTGGCTGGCAGTGGGTTTCGCGTCTTTTTCCCTCCATCAGATGCCTCTCAGGACTCTTGCCCGCATATCCTCATCGGTACGCCCGGACGTGTGCTCGCCCTTGTCAGGGAGAAGGCCGTCTCACTTTGAGCTTGGTTGGGCTAGCCAAGCTAGCTCTGCTAGCTCTCTTGTGTGCAGGACCTCAAGTTGGACAAGTTGCAGCACTTTGTGCTTGACGAGTGTGACAAGTGTCTGGATAAGGTGGACATGCGCAAGGACCGCAATCAATCAGCTGTGGCCTCTTATCCCCAAAGTGGTGATGAGACGTTGTCAGGATGTCCAGCAAATCTTTATGGATTCACCCAAGAAGAAGCAGGTCTACCAGTCGAGAACGTCTCTTTGCATTGGTGCCGTTGGTCTTGTGGTTCGCACGCATCAGCTAGCTCTGCATGCAGCCAGGTGATGATGTTCAGTGCTACGATGAGTGCAGAGACGCGGGCTTTGTGCAAGAAGTCGCAGAGCTTAACGATGGCGGTCGCATAGTGAGCTAGTTCTCTGGAATTCTGGAGGGCATGTGAATCCACAGCGGATTAATCTGGTGGATCCTCCTGAGGTCTGACACTTTCTGACAATCTTTGATTGTAGTGCATGGGCAAATACCCCTGGACCTTGACAAAGAGAGTTTCTTAAGGTTCATGACGGACCCACACGAGATTCGTGTCGACGAAGAGTCCAAGCTGACTCTGCATGGACTGCTTCAATACTACGTGGCCAGCCTTACGAGTTGAGGGCAGGGCCGCAAACTCGCAGGTTGTGGTGCTCGTGCGCTGAGGTGAAGCTCACGGAGAAGGAGAAGAACAGAAAACTGAATGACTTGCTGGATGCACTCGAGTTCAATCAGGTCATTGTGGGCCTCGTTTTGTCATGATGCCGTGATCTCGGAGCTCGAAGCACATCTAAGCACAACTGAGAGGTGGTGATCTTCGTGAAGTCCGTGCAGAGAGCCATCGCTTTGGATAAGCTGCTGGCCGGGAGCCTTTGCTCTGGGCAGTGCCTCCAGCAAGGCTCCTGACTGTCCAGGTCGAATGCAACTTCCCATCGATCTCCATTCACTCCGGCCTTCAGCAGGACGAGCGAATCGCAAGGCCGCTCTCCTGCTCGATCTGTGTCAGTGGTATTCACACCCGCATGTTGATGCATTGCCTGCTGGTGATTGTATGCACAGCCCTCACATCTCGTGTTCTGCGTAGCTTTCATGCACATGTTCCTTTGTGTCAAGACACGAATGGTCTGATGGTTCCATGCTGCATGTGATTTATCTGAGCACACATGTGTACTATGAATCAGTACATGAATGCTCGAACGAACAAACGACGGAGCACACGAGCATGCGGAGGAACGAACGATTGAACGCATGAACGAACGAGGGAACGCATGAATGAATGAATCAAGGAGTGAACAATGAACATTACGTGAATTATATTGTGTTGCGTTGCGTTGCATCGTGTGGTCTGGTCTTGCATCGCATTGCATTGCATGGCACGGCATTGCATTGCAGATTGCACCGTGCTTGTTCTGGGCTGTACTGGCTTGTTATATTGTGTTGCATCTTATTCTATTGCCTTGGCCTGCCTTGCCTTGCATTGCATTGCCTGGCCTGCATTGCATTGCATGGCATGGAGTCGCGTGGTGTGGCATTGCATTATATTGCATGCATGTTTGCAAGCGTGTATGCAAGCAATTCATGTGTGTAGGGGCCCTGCGTTTTCCTTCGTGTGTAAGTTTGCTTGCCCGTGCACACTTCACACCTGTGTGCTGTAGATGAAAACGCAGTGCAGCTTGCTTGTCGACCTGGAAGGTACAAGCAGTTCAAGGAGTTTCAGAAGCGGATCCTGGTTGCGACAGATCTCTTTGGTCGTGGCATCGACATTGAGAGAGACGCTTGTCTGAATCAGCTGTCCCCCGTCACTCTGGTGACTCCGGTTGCTACAGCTGCGAGAGTGCACCCAGACAAGCTGTGAGATTGACGGCATCCGTCCAAGCAGTCAAGGTCAACATTGTTATCAACTATGACATGCCCGATGAGAGCGACTCCTACTTGCAGCCTGGCTGGTAAAAGCACATCATCATGTTGGGGTTGCTCGGGTCACTGGCTTGCCCCTCCCTTGCAGGCACCGGGTGGGCCGCGCAGGACGTTTCGGGACAAAGGCCGACTTGGGGTGCGCGTGGGTCTGCAGGCAACTTTCGATTCATAAGCTTACTGCCGAAACTGGCCGACTGTATGCGAGCTTGTAGGCGTTGATTTGGCTAAGTTGGAGCTGGATGAAGTTGGGCTGATCCGGCTTATCCCAGCATCCTTTCTGTGCCACCTAGACATTGGCAGAGATGAGGACATGAGTTTGGGAATTTTTTGTTGAAGTTGGCAGGGCCTGGCTCTGACCTTCGTAGCAACAGACGAGGACCAGGAGGCAGAGAGCCGGCCTGAACCGGCCCTGCTTGCTTCCGCTTGCTCTGCTCATTCAGGTGTTGAAGAAGGTCCAGGAGCGGTTCGAGGCGGGGTCTAGGACTAGGACCAGTCCAAGGCTGCTGCTTTGTCCAGGGAGTGACTCTGTGGCTTGTAAACAACTGATTCTGAGGTCAACATCGGCGAAATGCCTGGGCAGATTGACGACGGCTCAGCGTGCAGTTCTGCCTGGTTGCATAAGTTGCATAAGGGGATGGCGATAGGTGCCCCCAAATCTGCGATCCATTCCTCGACCCGAAGAAGCTTGCATCTATGAGCTCTAACCGACTCTAAACTTCAAGGCTTCCGAACAGTCTGCCTCTTCTTCGTAGCGAGGTAAGTCCCCAATTTTGAAAGGCGATGGGCGTTGAGATGAACACTTGAAGTGTGCTGGAGAGAGTGCTCGACTTCGTGCATGCTTGCCTCCGAGGACACGACTTCCTACCTCAATGCCTGAGAGCACCGAGCCTCGTTTTGACGTGCCAGGATGCATCTGCATCTGACCACCCAGGGCTTGAAGACTGTTTGCATTTGCTTAAGTTTAGCTTACTGCATGCTTGCGCAATTCAAGAGAAACTGCCAAGTCGAAGAACCCTGGCCAGTAATGTGAGGCTCAGACGGCACGGGAGTCTCCTTTTGTGTACTGTGGGAGCAGTCCCTTCGACAAGGACTAGTTCAGCTTGCCCAGAAGCTGATCTTGAGAAACTCACGGTAGAGAACATGTTTGGATATGAATCGGCCCTTTCGGAGTAGTTCTCTTATGTAGTGACCAGACATAGCACAAAGCACTTAAAAACTTATCAACAAGCTCGTCTCCCTTTGACTGGGAGCCTGGCGCAGACCTGTGAATGTGCCCGGCAGACAGTTTGGGGTGGAGAAAAGGCTGAGTACACTCTACCGGATCAAGTTGAGCTTTGCCGGTCTAGAGAAGCCTGAACAAGCGATAGAAGCTTTTTGCTTGCTTCCAGGCATATTAGATGGGTTCGTTGTCGTCTGCCACAAAGAATCTGCTGACAGTGCCGCTTTTCTTGCACACCTGAAGCCAATAACGTCACAGGTGGAAACATCCTCCTACGCAAGGCCCTCAGAATGAGGGCCCCAGCTCCACAGCGTGGCTCCTGGCATGTTGCAAGTGTTGAGGCCCTTGCCGGCCCATAAAGGAAAAACCGACGAGCCGCATCTCCCGGCCTTTGCCAGAGGTTCCTTCTTTGTTACAGGCGCGGCATTGGGGCCCGGGCCTTCGCTTTCAGGTGCCTGGCTTCCCCTTCGACAAAGTCCCGGCCTCCACTGCCCAGATGCTTGCGGCCGGGGGCTCAGAAAATCCTTTCTGGGAGCGGGAGGATTCTGCCTTCGACAGGTTCTGTCTCTGGAGCCTGGACTTGGAAAGGTGGGCCCGGGGCAGTCAGAGAGTCAGAAACTCCATCAAAAATGTGCTGCTCTGCTGCTAGTGCGTGCCGCGCCTGTCAGGCGTCCAAGTCGAGCAAGGCGGCAAAGGCCGGGAGCCAACTTTGTGTCGAAATTCGAAGTGCCAGCTGCGATGCGAGGTGCGAAGTGCGGCTCCGGCTCCCAAGCCGTGGCAGTTGGAGGCGCGGAGGAAGCCCCCGCGTCGGCAGAGCCGCATCCTTTCGTGCCAAGGCGAGGGAAGCCCCGCCCAAGCCGTCCAACTCCCAGCTGCTTCGCGGCATTCGCTTCGCGGCCTTCGCTTCGCGGCCTTCGCCTTGCTTTTGGCCCCTCGAGGTCCTACACTGCCCGAAGCTCCGACTTCGAGCCGAGCCACTCAGGGGGCCCAGCCTCTCGGCGCTGTTGCCCACGCGTCGCCTGAGGCCCTCCTCAACTTCTGGCGAGGCCAAGCCTAAGAAGGCCTCCGGCCTCCGGGCTTCGCATGACTCCGCTTTTGGCCGACGTGTTTCGAGGATGCGGAGGCTGATGCAAGCACATCCCAGACACATCTCAAGCGCCGATCTCTGGACGGAGCGGGCAAACTGGAAAGCAGATGGCCGGTGCTCCTTCAGGAAAGATAGCGACGAGGATGGCAAGGTTCGGCTCTCGAGTCTCATGTTATGGCTTCCACGGTTGATATGATGTGATTGGATTTTTGGTGGAAACTGTGCATACCAGCAATCAAGTTGTGCTCAGGCTCAGTCCAAACGATCCTTGTCTCCGGCTGAACGTTCCACATCGGCAGCGTCGCAGGAGTGCTGAGATTGGGTGAGAATGTCCAAAAAGCTTAAGTAGCAGAGCAGGGCAGAGGGACGGCAAAGCCTGGTGAAGTGTTCTGATCCGCAGGTAGCTAAGCTTCATTGTTTTTGCCCTACTTAAGCTGAGAAGTAAACTCGCCAAACTCCGTGCAGGAAGGACCACCAGTGTCCCAGAAAACTCGCCGAAGACTGAGCCGGGTCTGTGAGTGCCGCTGTCGAAAGTGTGCAGTCCAGCTCGCGGGCATTTCGCAAGGCTGGGCAGATGTAGTATCCGATGACGAGGAATGCCCTTGGCAGACTCAGATACTCGCCCTAACTTAAAGGAGCGGCGGTGCAGAAGCGTGCGCTTGCAATCGTTGGCAGACTATGTCGCACCGAGGGCCAAGTCGAGCGAGGAAGAGATCACGCAGGAAAGCAGACATATCTCCACAGCAGAGACACCTCAGGAGCCTGTGAAGATGACCCCCTCCCGCAAGACAACGTGGCTGTGCAGGAAAGGAGCTTTGCGTCCCCTGGGAGTTTCTCCAAGACTCGTTGGGGCCTCGGCGGCTGAACTTGAGAGCGCTATTAACCGTGCTTTCTTCCAGGCTGGGCAGATGTGGACTCGGACGATGACCAGTTGTTACCGAAACCCTGGCTTGCTTCGGCGCGACAGGAAGGACGCACAGCACAGGGTTTCAGAGAGCAGAGCCAAGGAGTGGGGAGGAGGAAGACGAGGAGTCAAGCAGCTCCCCAGCTGAGCCCGCGGAGCGGCAGGCTGCAAAAGCTACGACAGTCTGGGAGCCAACTGGGAGTCTACTGGTCTACTTAGCGAAGATTTCTTTTTGGGCTGCAGGTCCGAGTCCGAGGAGAAGCAAGGAGGCGAGTTGCTTTGTGTGAGCTCCTGGCTTTGCCCGGCTCTTTGCCCAGCCCGGCTTGAGCCCTGCAGGTGCCAGGTGAAGGCCGAGGCGAGGCACCAGGGCCGAGTCCAGTCCTCTGCGAGAGTCCACAGCAGATTTTTTTACGGAAGGAGGCAAAGGCAGATGCGAGCACATCCAAGGACAAGTGTGATCCTCGGAGCTGCCTCGCTTCTGCTTAGGACGTAAACCCGCATGCTTTTCCTTCAGGAAGTCTGCAAGCAGCGACGAGGAGGACGTGAAGGCAGCCTTGACCATCGGGAGCCTCACCTCGTATCGTGGGGGTCGAGTTTTCGTGCCACGAGAGCTTCTGTGCAACTTGCCACAGCATGCTGCAGTGGCTCAAAGAGCCTTTTGGCCCCCAGTGTGGAGCCTTGATTCTCAGCCTAAGATGGGTTGGAAGACGATTCCCGCACTGCTGCTCTGGGCGAGGGTGATCTGCCTCTGATACAGATGGGGAGCAACGCCTCCCGAGCGCGCACTGCCCATCCGGCGCTGCCTTGCTTGAAGGAGGCAGAGACGCGATGGATGCAGAACTTTGTGGCTGACTTCAGTCAGCGCGACACGCTGATCAAGCATAACGGCCATGACGTGACGATCCACTCGGTGGAGGTTTCAGACCCAGGCTCGGACACAGCGAAGCCACCACTTGTATTCCTGCCCGGATATGGCACCGGAGCAGCGATCTTCGCACGATGCTGGTCGCAACTCCTACTACGGGAAAGGCTTCCGCTGATCGCTGTGGATGTGTTAGGTTCATTTTTGTCGAGCCATCCGACATGGACTCCTGGCACCGACGTCGAGAAGGCCGAAGCATGGTTCGTTGAGAGCTTGGAGGCGTGGCGGAGAGCCCGAGAGATCCCGCAATTGGACCTACTTGGCCACAGCATCGGTGGCAATATCGCTGCAGCGTATGCGGAGTCGTACCCCGAAAGCGTGAGGAGCCTTATTCTCGTATCCCCAGCTGGTTTAGTCGGCGAGCCGGAGGACTACCAGACCAAGCTTCGATCCGCATCGCGACGAATTCGTCTCGTTATGTCACTCTGGCGCAGGGGCTGGACTCCATTTACAGCCATACGGCTCCTGCCGAAAAGCTATGCACGCAGGATTTGTCTCTGGAATGCCAGACGCTGGAGTGGACATCGTGCGCGTGATCCAGTCGAGGAAACACCCTGCAGTCGTTGCACTCGCAGATTACATCTATCACGGATGGCGAGAGGGGCCGGCCAGCGCGGATGTGGCCATAGCTGCTCTTTTACACCCTGGAGCATGGGGCAAGAAGCCGCTTGGTGCCAGACTACCCAAAATATCGGTCTCACGGCTAGAAATCATTTACGGAACAAGGGACTGGATGGACATGCGACATGGGAACCGGGTGGCTGAGGCCTGTGCGGAGCAAAGAACTTCGGAGCAGGCGGCACCGATGGTGTGTGTACAAGTCGTGGAAGATGCGGGGCATTATGCGCACTTGGAGAACGTCGACGGCTTTGTGGAGGCCCTTTCCTGTGCTCTCAAGCCACGTTCGGAAGGTGTGTGTGTTACTGCGCCATTGCCCGACGGATACGAAGAGCAGTTCACAGGACCTCGCATTCCTGCGTGGCGCAGCTGGGAGGGGTACAGTTTCGGCCGTTGATCTTCGCCGTGTCCGAGCAGCGGACCGCTGCTGCATCTTGCGCAAGCTGAGATTGCTGCGAGAAAACTGGTCGGGCTTTGTGTTATGGTTTTGTGGCTTTGAGAGGACGCTGATACCGAGCGAAGCGCTGCAGTTGCGCCCTTCCCTCACACAATTCTGCGCAGTTGCAGAGGCGCTATCGGAAGCAAACGAGGAGCAGGTGTCCCCGAAGACACGCTGCAGTCCCAGACTGTTTTGCGGTTGTTTGAAGATGTTGCGATTTCCGCTAGTGTCTTCTTCCGCCCTCGCCTCGCCTGGCCTCGTCGCCTCCCGTCCTGTCTCTATCTCGTCCCGATTCTATAGGGTCGAAGTGGCAGACTCTTCGAGGTGGAGCCTTGCTGATGCTAGTTGCCGTTTCGGCGGTCCCACTGCCGCATTTTACATAGGTCAACAGCTGATAATGCAAGGTTGGGCAGATGTTCAGTCTGACGACGATCAACTTCTTCCGCGGCTTGTTTGCAAACTCGGGCGCTGTATCTTGCCGCAGGCTTCGTGTCGGCGATGTGCAAGGTTTATGGGTTTGGCCGGTCGTACAGCTCCAGAACAACCAAGGAGCGCAGAAGACGATACCGAGAAGGATGACGCCTCGGAAGAAGCCGGCGAGTGGCAAGAGGTTGCCTACCGTTTTCCTTTCACTGCGTTTACTTTAGCCTTTTGGGTTATCTGGACAAGGGTACCGAAGAAAGAAACCGAAACACGAGTACATGGTCAACCTTGTTCCTGATCCCTCTCTTGTTCCTTTGTGTTTAGTTTAAAGAAGACAAGATAAGGGAACGCGGGCTTCCTCTACACTCAACGCAAAGCACAACAGACAGGGAATCACAGGAACGAGTCGTTGCTTTTCAGCTGTGAGGAAGAGAGTGTGCTTTGCAGCGGCTGCAAGTTGGCAACAGTCTCTGTCCTCTCCAGGAAGTGCACACTCTTGGATGGAACATGTTTCTGTGAAGCCCGCTTTGCCATGGCTCCAGCAGCTGATGCTTTGCGTTTTGCAGAGTTTTGGAGTGGCAGATTCGCAAAACTCGCCGGTACCGAAGTGTCTTTGTTCATAAAAGGAACTTTGTCGGAAGAGCTTATTGCCTTGCAGCATGACGTCCTGATGTTGTGATAATACAGATGCGATAATTGCTGTTCTTGTTATGATTACGGTGACTTACTATGATTGTTGTGTGTGTTTAACGTGTTTCCACTGCAACTTCTATTGCTACTGCTTCTGCTGTTGCTGCTACTGCGACTCCTGCTGCTGCTCCTGCTGCTGCTCCTGCTGCTCCTGCTGCTGCTGCTGCTGCTGCTGCTGCCTGTCGGGCCCCTGCCAGGTCAAGAGACAGACGAAGCCAAAGGTGCCGAAGGCGTTCAAGCCCGAGGGACGCAGGTGCGATGCCAAAGCAAAACAGCCCTTACCAATCCTTGTATACAAGAACCCGACCAAAACCCTGCGCTTGCGCCAAGCCTCTTTCGCAGGCACCATGAGGAGCGCCCTCGCGAGCGCCGCGACGACCGTCGTCGGAAGGACGTCGGTTTCCTTTGTGCGCTTCAGAGCTGAGGGTGTAATGGATCGCACGATGCAGGACACCACGAGCAAAGAAGGAGATACCCAGCCGCCCAGGACGGAACCCGTATCTGTGGCAGGGATGAGCCGCAGTGAGAAGCCGTCAGCACTTCAATGTGCCAGAGGGGTCTTTCTTCCAGACCGCCAGCAGGAGGAGGCGGGATGGGAGGAGGAATCCACGAGACAACGACTGGAAAAGAACAGGCATCGTTGCTGCGATGATTTGGACCATTCAGGATGATTGATGGAGTAGGATTGACTAGGCTGATTTGTGCTTGAAGAGCACGTGGTTCCCGCAGATCTAGCAGACTTTTTGAATCAATGTTCGGACTGGGCGCATCGTTGCAGGGTCACGACATTCTGGATTCGTCACTCTTGTTCAATGTGCGTGGGGAACCTGCCCAAGATCACCCAAGCCTCCTTCCACAGCCGCATCTGGAGCTGCAGGAGGAGGCGAGAGCCAGCAGCGTCGGGTGCGCTGACGTGCGGCAGTGTGTGTGTGGCCATGCTGCCAAAGGCCTAAGGTTGTCCATCGAAGTTTCTAGCAGAATTTTTGACCTCTCACACAGATGTTTGCTGGCCACAGGGCCACAGGGATGAAGACTAGAACCTACGACCTACGCGTAGTCTTTAGTGTAATGTATTAGTTGTCGAGGTTTGTTGTGCGGTGGGTTTGAAGCGAGACTGCTACTTCAAGATTAAAGCTGGCCGTAACCGAATCTGTTGGCGCTGTAGTGGATCATCGCCGCCAGGGAGAGTGCATTTGAACAGATTTCGCTTCGTAATCAATTGGTTGTGGCCCTGGGCGCGAAACTGAAAGCAGGGTCAACGATAGTTTTGCGAGAAACATCCGACTGAACTCCAGGCGCGGCCTCAGCTTCCTGGAAGGGGTTAATCAGGTGATGAACGGTCAGCATGAGGCAGTGCAGGTGGCCACAACTTCCACGAGAATTGCATTGCAAAGGATGCACAGGCAGAACCATTGCAGGCAACCGCGAGTCATGGCGTCAGGGCAGCTGGCCCTGCGCTGCACTGCATAAGGGCAGTATCGTTGTTAAAGTTGACTGCGTTTTCCTGCAATGAAGCTTCTGCATCGCACCGTGACGCACGAACACAGGCAGCTGACTTTCACTTGGCTGGACAGGGAGTGAGATGTTCTACGACTCGAAGTCGAGAGCAGCAATGTGAAAGTCCTTTGCCTTGCTTTTTCAGGATGGAAGCTGTGACTCGAGGCGCAGATCCAACATATTTCGCAGAATGAAGCTATTCTGGAAAGCTGCTCGTGTCATTGGCCCGAAATTGCTAAAACATGGCCTAAGGCTCGTCGAAGCCCATGGGGCCGTTTGAAATCCCTGGGCAGACGGCCCTCAGCGTTTCTCCAAGAATGGTCTCCAGAGGTGTTCTCCTGGAACTGCCAGAGATGATTCCAAGTTCTGCTCAAAAGACCTTGTGCTAATAGCTGCTGTACTGTCACAAGTTCAGATCGACATCTAGATTCCGCATGATCAGGGCAAGAAGATCAAGAAGTCCCGGCCTGGACGAAGAAACGAGAAACCATCTGCGATATTTCTTTCCGTTGAAGATTAAGACCCTAGCGAGATCTAGCGAGAGCATGGCAAAACAAGTTGGAGCGGGGCTCACGCGAGATAACTCCACGCATCGAAGGCGTGTGGGCTGTGAGTTTCGAGTCATGACAGATCCCTGCGCAGTTCAGCAAAGACGTCGGCTTGGCTGGGCCGTGGTTGACCCTGATCAACGCCGCGCGGCCCGGAAACGCGACCAGAGAGTTGTTTGGGTTTGTGACATCACTTCGAGGTTCTCCAGACTATGGGCATCAGTGGAGACCTCATCGACGGTATCCCGGTGCAGAACAAGCCGGGTCCCCTGTCCCGTGTTCTCCTTGCCTTCTCTTGCGAGCTGGACCCATTGGCCTAGGTGGATCAATATCGTCCGTGACAACTTGGACGATTTCGGGAAGCAAGATCCTGAGCAAGGCACCGGGAGTTTCAATGGGGCAGTCATGGGCTTGGACAATGTGCGCGGGTAATGATTGTTCCGGCCAGAGTGCACTCGTGGCAAAGATGCTAATTTTGCAGGCGCCGATATCCTTTGCCTCTAAGATAGCAGACATGGCTTGCATCTGAGCTCCTGACTGAGTCGTTGCCAGGACAGCGCCAAGCTGGAGACTTGATGCAGAACATGATCATGGGCCGCATGGAGAGGACGCGCCAGCAATTTCACTTCAGATGCGGCACAACAATCCCAACAGTATCTTCGAAACGGCCTGTCTTCATCAGATGGCACGCCGCAAATCTCTCACCACCAGCGATGTAAGTTCATTCGCTAAGATCCAGCTCCAAACCCGAAGCTTCATGCAAACAGCGATCGGGTGCACTCGCCGATGTCTGTGGAGGGAAAGAGTGTGCAGCTGACGGGAAGAGTTCTTCCAAGCAAGGCGCAGATGACCAAGCCGTCTTCTGCATGAGCCTGTCTGAGATACTGGTTGTTTTTTTCATGCAAAAAGGACAGTTATGTGATAGCTTTTCATAGGTTCGGTTCCTTCTGAATCTCTTCGCTACACTGGGTCGGGTGCGTGGTCCAGGATACCTCGGCTCAATGCTGCTTGAACTGAAGGATCACAGGTGCACCTATGCCGGTGTTTCTCGAAGGCTACGGAGAGAGCGAAGGCATTTACAAGATCGCCATTCCCCGAGTTCCTCCTTATCCACAAGTCTGGTAATATGTGGTAGTCGTCGCCTTTTCCCAGGTGATTGGGCCACGGTCAGTGGTCGTCGTCTCCGATCCAGTGGTTGTCAAGCGCATCCTCACGAGCTCGCCGGACCGGGCTAGAGTTGAGCGGTTCAGCGCTGCTGTTGAAGAGATGCCTAGGAGCACTAGGAGCGGGCTGGAGACAAGTCGGTTCTCGTGTTTTCATCAAGCTTCCGTGTCGGAGCCCATTGCGTGTCTTTGAACTCAGCATGACCATGCATGACGGCTGCGGCAGATATGCACGTGCACTTCAGACCTTATATAAGAGCTTGTGCAGCCTTCGCAAAGTAGCGAAACACACAATCCTCGAAGAGGCAGCAATAACCCCTCCCCCTCTGTCACATGGCAAATCCTCCGAGTGCAGCGGCAAGTGAAGAGGCGCCGGACACGCACATCACTATTGATGATGATGGTTCTATGTGGGGCGAAGATGAATTTGGACGTTACAGGATAGACAACCGCGTTTGGACCATGAATGAGATTCGGGATCATCCGCTCTTCATGACAGATGTGCCGTCGGATCCATGTGATCTTGACAACTATCCTCTTCTCACAGCCTTGCAGAGCGTCCTTTACGATGATCAAACTCCAGAGGAACTGGCAGAACATTTCCGGAAGCAAGGAAACGAGGCGATGAAGTTTCAAGCCTCGAGGATAGCTCTTCAGAATGCCTTGACCTTCTACACGAAAGGACTGGAGATGGAATGTAAGGATGACAAGCTGAACGCAGTGCTGCACGCCAACAGGGCTGCGGTGGGCCTCAAGCTGGGTGAGCACCTGAAAGTAGTGGACGACTGTCGTGCGGCCGTGCGCTTGGACCCAAAGAATCTGAAGGCCTGGAGCCGGGGTGCGAGGGCCTCCGAGGCTTTGGGCCTGGCAGAGCAGGGCCTCGCCTTCTGCCGGGGCGCACTCCGCTTGGAGGGCGAGGACAAAGCGCTGCTCTCGGAGGTGAAACGCCTCCAGCGACAGCTTCAAGAACTCCATCGGAAGCAGCAGGCGGCTCAGAGCGAGATGCGCATGGAGGATGCTCGCGTCAAGGATGCCATGCAGGCCAGTGCTTCCGCTGTTCGAAACGCACTGGAACTTCGTGGATCTCGTTTGGGCCCTGCACTCTTTGATCTAGCGATGTACCGCATGGCGAATGGCGGAATTACCCCTCATCCGAAGCTGGTAGATGGGGAGGATGACCCTGCAATCGAATGGCCCTTACTCCTGCTGTACGACGAGGTCAACCAATCTGATTTTGTGGCATCCTTCGACGAAAGATGTGCTTTGGAGGATCAGCTGCAGCTTATGTTTCCCGAAGATCGGCGTGTGGAGTGGGACGTTCAGGGCAAGTACGTTTGGAACAAACTTGCGGTTTACCTGGAGTATTATCCAGAGGGCAGTGACGAGACCTCGATGTTCAAAATTGACTGCAGCGCAGCAGTGAAGACACTTCTGACGGAGCGGTGCCTGCCACCCTGCCTGGTACTTCATGTCTTGGTCGAAGGCTCCCCGGCACAAGCCGCTTTTCTCAAAGACAACCAGGTGGAGTAGCGATTCAAAAGTGACTCGGGCATTGGGAGAGCGGGGGGTTGTTGGGTACAGGTGTTCGTGTCTTGAATGGCATGGAGTGCCTCGCAGGAGCTTTACACCAAGGGTATCCTGACGGAAGTGCTCGAGCCCATCATGGGCTGTGGACTCAGCTTGATGGCCAAACAGCACTTAGCTACGTGACCTGCTAGCGCTTGGCACTGCTCGGGTAACAGGCCAAGGGCTGATTCCGGCTGATCCTGAAACCTGGAGGCCATGGGGCTTCCCTTCTGCAGCAGCAAACTCAAATGCGGACACATGCAGGAAGCGCCGCCGGGCAATCGTGCCTGGCTTTCACAAGAAGTGGCTGACGGAACGGCGATGTGTGTGTGTGTGTGCGGTGTGTGTGTGTGTGTGTAGGAAGAGTTCAGTCCTCCGACCCGTGATCCGTAGCCCTCACCATTTCGACGAGACGTTTCATGTAGCAGTAGCACAACAAAATTTGCCTCATCAAGCAACTTTCTTTATTTTGCGAGGAGGCCACTCGACAAATGGTGGAATGCGCTGCATCCCTGCCACGTTTGACTGTCCAGCCGGATGGCAAAGCAGCAAACGCCGGAGTTTGCACATGTAAACCCGAAGGTATCAGCAGTGGCCATGACAAGTGCCAGGTGAATCTCGCTGATGACCTGGAGCGTTCCATTTCAATATCTTCTTCGCACGTGGCCGAGGCAACGGAGATCTGCGCGAATTGTGCTGCGTACAAGCGCCGACATGGACTGGCCAGTGCCAAACATGTGAGAGCTGTTCACAGCGGACACAACAAACCGGTGGTTTGCACGGTCTGTGCATGGGATGCCATCCGTCACTTCTTGGACCTGGTTCGTCGGTGGCGGCGCAAGTTAGAGGCTGGGGCATGCGGAGGGTTTCTCCAGGTCAACATGGAGGAAAAGTTCACTTCTGCTTCGCTCGACATCATTGGCAAGGCACTGGAGAGCTGAGACTCCGAGAACTCGTGCCAGGGTCTCCTGCTCTTGTAACCGGAGAACGAGTGCAGCCAAATCACAAGTGAAGAGAATCGTCCTCGAACGGACCAGGCCATATTCAACTACGACTTTGGCTCCACAACGCACCGCCCCCAATTTTTGGCACGACAGAAGCCGAGTGTATCCACCTGACATGACTCTGAGCCGCCACTGTGCACGGTACAAGTCCAGATCAGATCTTCCCAAAGTGAACTGGAGGGGCTTTGAACGACTGACACCGGCTAGCATCACCAGTAGCTGTGTAGGAATCGCATGCATCCAGGAGCTGGCTATCAGTGTTTGCAACACCACTGCTGTCAGCATCTAGGAATCTAGGGCTTTCCGTGGCTCAGAGCTTCGGGAGTAAGGCACGAGTCGCCGCTGATCCGCGCAGTCTACAACCTTCTCCGGGAGGCGGAGCGCCGCGCCCAGTCGGCGGGGAGCTCGGGCTCTGCAACGAGGACAGGAGAGACTCTTCCTTTGCACTAAAATCTCAGCGTCTAAGGTTATCCCGTACTGGAACCTGCCAGGGGCGGACGTCGGGGCCCCGGCATTAAGAGATGGACCCCGTGGGTGCTTTTGGTGGCCTCTCTGAGGCGATGTTCCGAGACCAAAAGGATCACAGCGAGAACTTGGTGGGCTGCTCTGTGGTGCTGTGGTGTACGACAGGGTATGATCAAAGAAACTTGCCGGAAGTTGAGATATGGTCCCGTGCAAGGGTACTGACAGGCTCACCAATAGAATGCTCGTTGCTTTGATGCATGCAGTTGTTTCAGCACCTGCAGGCGTTGGTCAATGCTGTCCTGGATGAGCTCATCCGAAACGCCTTGGAGGCCCTGCACCACCATCGCGATGGGTGGGCTCACGCAATTGAAAAATCTCGTCAGGACCCTCCCGAAGAGGGGGACAAGCTGTCCTTCCTCCAGTTTCTGGTCATCACCAAGGGTGAGGATGTGACCACCAGGCCGGACAGTAGAACCGGTAGCGGTAGCAGGCGCAGTTGAGAGAATGGACGACTGGCGTGCATGGCAAGTGCATTTGACGATTCGCTCACTGAGTCCGTCGGCTCAGAGGAACAGCGTCTCATGGCATGATCATACGCAAACCCTTCCTCACGACGGCAACTGGCTGTGGGATTTGCACAACTTGGGCGCTGACATGAACCGTCAACAAGTTCGGCGCAGCCCAGAGATTTCTTTGCAAGACGGCTTGAAGAAGTTGCAGTCCGAAGCCATCTCATCTCCTTTTTTTGGTGTTCTCCTACTCAGTATCATGCTCGTGCAGTCTGCCAAGCCCAAAAAGGGATTTTCGAGCTTCGCGAGTTTTTCGCGAGAATCTAGATTTGCAAGCCCTCGAAGCCGTAAGTTTGCGTGCGATCATGTGGGCGAAGAGCCCGTTCATTCGAGTGGCAGGGTGCTCAGCAGAGCCAGGCCAATGCCAGGTTTTGAAACTCTGGAAAGCCCATTCTGGCAGGAGGATCTTTGTGCAGCAAAGCTAGCACTGTCGCAGAATCTCGGATTGAGTGGTGCATTTTCGAGGCTTCTACGGTGCCGGTGCTACTCATCCTTTTCATTTTTGGATTCGAGTGGCTCCATCCTCAGCAAGTACAGTACAGACAGGTTCCTGCAGCTTCATGCGACCGTGCTTTATGAACCATGCTGCTCGGCGAGCCTGTGCTATGATATGTTCGCAATTGTCCGCCGCCAGGTACGCCTTCAACTGTGTCTTTGTCCTGCGGGGGCAGCTGTCTCAGAATTTATAAGTCGAACGTGTCCGTGTGCAGATCTCCAGAGAAGCTATTTCGTTCGCTGTTGTCTAGCTTTTCGGCTGGACCTTGGCTTTAGCTTTATCGATGACGTTGTGCATGCGAGCAAGTTCCTTTTCCGGTCACGTGGAACTCGCTTGCCTCTGCACCAGCCGCGCACCATGGACGCTGTGTGTGATCTCGTAGGAAGATGGAATAGGGTGGCGCGCCTGTTGATTTTGGCTGGTTTATGAGAGCATCGCAGGGCGGCGTTTGCGGGCGTTTGACCTGGCATGGTTCCCAGTGTTCTTGCTTTGGGTCTGGACCTAGCTTGAACTTTGACGTGCCGGCAAGTTCCCATCCCGGGCAACATCGTGGCACTCGCCCGCCTGTATACCGGCCGCACACCATGGACGTGGTGTGTGAGCTCGTAGAAGGCTGGAACACCATGATGCGCCTGCTGATATGTGCTGTCTGCGATAGCGTCGCAGGGCGGCTTTTGCGGGCGCCTGACATACTCTCAACATGGTTCGCGGTGTTCTATCTTTTCGGCGGGACCTTGGCTAGATCTTTTGTGATGGCGTTGCACATGTCTGCGAGCCCCTATTACTGGCAACAGCTGCAACTCGCCAGCCTGTATACCGGCCGCGCAGTGTGCACGTGGTGTCTGAGAAGGTTGGCACACTATGAATCACTTGCTGAATTGTGCTGGTCTATGAGATCATCACGGGACAGCATATGCGAGTGTTTGACATTGCATTGTTTTTCAAATTGTCAAAGTTTCCGTTGGTCAGTGGCAATGATGTGGAGCTCGCCCACCTTTATACCAACCGCAGACTATGGGCATGGTGTGTGAGCTCGTAGCAACTTGGAGCACGGTCGTGCGCCTGTAGAGTTCGCATGGAAGTGTTTCCTGGCTCATCTGATCCTGCTTGAATTGTGCATTGCCCCGAGCTTTTGTAGTCATGTGTTTTGTCACGACCGAATATCATCGGGGCCCATTCCTGTGAAGAGTTCGGCAGGGCTTGGGAGAAGCTGTTTGCGCACCAAGTGTGTTTCTGTGCGGATGCGCATGTGTGTGCGTGCGTTTGTGCCTGTGAGTGCATGTGAAGGTGTAGGTGCCTTCGGCAGCAGCGTGACCATGAAACGGCCGCATGTCCCTATATAGCTAAACCCAAACTTCCCAAAGCCTGAAAAAAATACTCAAAGCCGTTAAGCCCCTACTGTAGAGCTTGGCTTTGCGGTTTTGCTTTTCATTCGAGGTTGGGCCGCTGGCAGGGGGAGTCCCAGTTGCTTGCCTTCGCGCCTTGGCCCTGCAAAGCAGTAAAATGTAACAGGGGTCTTGGAATTTCTGGTGCGTTTTTCGTTTTCTGGGTTTAGGGTTGGCTTCCTGGCTTCAGTCTTGAAGCATTCCTGTCGATTCAGATCATCGGTGGCAGAGCATTCTGACAGGCCCGCGTTTTCGTCTTCAATGCCACCTGGCTTCTTGCACTGCATGGTGCTCAGGTTGCCAGAGTGGCTCAGGCAGCATAGACCTACGCAGTTGTAACCTACATAGCTGCGCTTTCGGAGGTGGTCCTTTCTTCGCTGCGCTCTTTCCGATCCGGGCTTCGTCCCCTCATGGCCGGCTTTCTCAAGAGGCTCCGAGGTGTGTTTGTGGCTTCTGACGGACTGGCTTGGCCGAGGTGGTTGGATCAACAAGAGCGCTGTCCGGAGCACTTGTCGTTGCCGCACGATTTGACGTTGTTACAGAGTGCAGTGTGTGGACCAGGAGGCCACCGGCAACTCCTTCTTCGGGTGGCAGCCAGGGCTGCTCCGGCACTGCTTGATTGCCGGGCGCCAGTCCCTTCGCTCGGTTCACTGTCGTGCCTTCTGAAGAATACTGGCCTGGCTACACATCACAGTCTTGGCAGTGCTAACATGCAGCGATTGCACGCTTTGCCTCGTTTCTTGGCGATTCCGCTGGTCTGCTGAAAAGAAACGCTGGAACATAAGGGGCAATGTCGAAGACAGGAGTCGTGGTGTCTCCATCCTGGGTCCTTTTCTAAGTGTGCTTTCTGCCATGCGGGAAATTGAGCCTGGACTCTCATCGACTTGCACGGGATCCCAGTAGCCGAAAACAGCAGCGTAGGACGGCGGGCGTTTGCGGACATGGCAGGAAGCCAACGGCGTGCCACAAGTGCAACGAGCGTCGGCCAGAGAGCCGGAAGCTCAGGTGGACACGGGCCGAGCACTTTTGATATATGATAATGTGTGTGTATTTGTTGTTTGCAGCATCCGAGTGCAGCTCATGGTAGACGTCCCAAGTGCTGTGGATCTGCCAGGAGCACACCACTGCAGCATCTGTGGCAAGTGCGTGATGCGCATGGTCCGAACCTGAGACTGGCTGCTGCCGGGATGCACCAACATGATTTGAATATCCTTGGACGATTTCCCACTTAATGCCTGTTTGCAGGATCACCACTGCCCGTGGGTGGGTAATTGCTACTTGGTTGCATCTTTCGTGAGTAACGGCCCATACTCCACGCAGATCCAAACGACATTTGGGCGCGTTTTGCAGTTGTCAGAGCAGCAGCACTGACAGCGAACGCCGTTGAGTGTTCTATGCTTTGTAAGACTTCTTGTGTCGTGTGGATGCAGAAAGCGGGCAAAATTGAGGTGTTGGGGCCAAGAATCATAAGCCGGAGCCCAAGAGTAAGGGGTGCAACAACCTGTGCTGCCCGTGGATGCCCGTGCCCATCTGAGATACTTCATCCTCATGCTGATTTACGGCATGACGTCCGCCCTTGCTTATGCCAGACCCTCGTTCCAAGCCCCCTGCGTCATAGCTTCGTGCAGTCTGTCGCATTATGGAGAATGCAGGCTAGGTAGCGGCGCACTCACATACGACAAGTTTCGATCGGGCTCCCCGACATCGGCCAGGTCGTGGCAGCCAGGCCTATCATCATCTCGTTGTTTGTCCCTCGTGCACGTGGTGGACTTAGTCATTACGGTGAGACAGCCATGACCTCGTCACCGCGTGTGGTGTTAGAGCTTGAAGTTGCTTCCATGGGCTACGGCACTGCGACACTTTCTCAACATTTTGACAGGAGCTCCATGCTTTCGTGTAGCATCTCATAGTTTATTTCATAGATTTTCATAGCAAGTCAGCAGCCGGAAACATCTCAAAGTAACCAGCTTGGTGACACTTTTCGTTTGCAAGCATCGTGCAGAAATCTGGTTGACACCCCGTGCAAGGAGCTGTGCTTACAGCACGCCTGCAAGCTCTCGTGCAGAAGCGTTGCACAGCATCCTAAACCCTAAACCCTAAGCTACGAGCTTTCAAGCAGTAGCCTGGAGGACTGGCAGCATGTCCCAACTTGCCCGACTCTAGTTCCCGGCAACGCCACAGTCGATGCACAAGCGAGCAAACGCACCATCCAGCACCACAAGCGCTTTGCATCACCTTGCTTGTCCGCTGTTCCCTAGCACAGCCCAGGCTATCTGACACGGGGTACGATGGGGCCTGGGGGTTCTGGCCCAAGACTGCTTAACATCGAATCGAGGGCAGTGCCGCTTGGAGCGACTCATGCGGCTGTGTGAGCTTGGGAGTAAAGTTGAAGAGGACTTTGGCTCGCTGAGGTTTTGGGATCTTCAGCATGGGTGCTGTTTTGGCCGCGTCGTTGTGTCGCATCCCAAGCTGCTCGCCTTCTCTTGCGAAATTCTTGCGACAGCTCCAGAACGGACAAAACGCTGCTGAGCCCAGCAGTGCTCGGGAGTTGTGCAGGTCTGGCCATGTCTCTGCTCTTCTTTTCCCACTTGTGGTGCCCTGGCTGCACTTCGGTTCTTGCAGGGGGTGTCTCGGCCCGCACTCGAAGGCTGATGGCAGTGAACCGCACTTCCATCGAGGTCGCCTATTCTGGCAGGACTTGCTTGGATGCTGGCATTGTGCAGCACATGCCTTCAAGCTGTCTGCTCAAGGAACCCCTACAGCCTTGGCATTTTTCGGAACGTCTGCGCCTGATCGGTGCGTGGTACGGCTTGCCTTGAGCTTGCATTGTATGTTTCCTTGCGGCCCCTTCAGCCATGTCCAGCAACTTCGCTTATTCGGGCAGCGTCAGGAAACTAATCTAGACAGAGGAAGAGAGGGAGAGACGGTTTAGAAGTGTTTGCGGGGAGAACCTTCTGACGATTCATGTCTCATTCTATGGATTTCGCGGATTGCAACCCAAGCACGATCGACATCCCCACAAAGCCCAAGACAGCCCACGTGGCCAGGGAATTAACACATCCCCCATGCTTTGGAGAGCTTTAGAGAGAGAGAGAGAGCCTTCAGGCTGAGACCTGACCACTCAAAAAGAAGGCATGACTTGCTCGCTCGGAGGATTTCCCTCGCCATGTTTACTTGTATCCATGGTTGTTGAGAGGACGAGCAAGCCAAACAAAGCCTTCTTGGGCGATCTTTGCCTCTGTTGTGTGCTGCTGTCCGCCGTGGCATAGGCAAAAATTGCCTTGTTGTCGCGAGTGCAACGGCCCATTCCCTCCGCACCAGTCGGGGGCGCCAACGGCGCGCGGGCAGAGGGGGCAACCTCTCTGCCCCTAACCCTGCCGAAAGAGAGAGAGAGAGAGAGAGAGAGAGACGGTTGCCTTTCAATGAGTCGGCAACGGGGGGGAGGAGATACAACCTTGAGTACAGCCGAGCCCTTCATCACACTGAGTGGTGGGGGGATTCACTCAGGCAGTGTCAGACACCTGTGGACTGCAGGTGCACGCTTGGTTGGGCGGACGTACCCAGCTCTCCCCACCTGGTAGAGAGAGAGAGATAGAGGGAGAGCGTGTTAGTTTCTTGTTGTTCGGGGCCTTTTCCCTTGTTGGTGTATGCTTTGAGAACGATTGGCGAAAATAGCCTTATGGCGCATGAGCGCTTCACAATTCCCTCTGCAGCAGGCGTGGGCGCCGACGAGTGCGTGGGTGGGGGAACTTGCCCCTCCCATAACCCTGACGAAACAAAGAGAGAGAGACAGAGAGAGCTTGACTGTGTGGAACAAGAGAGAGAGAGAGAGAGAGAGGGAGCCCCTAGCTCTGTCGAAAGAAGAGAGAGAAAGAGAGAGATTTTGGCTCAAGTCGACCCACCGCTCTCCTTTGGGGGGCGCCTGAGGCCGGCCCTTTGGGATAGCTGGCTGTACCCAGCTTTCCCACTGGGTGGACGTGCCCCGGGCGGGGGGAGGCTTGAGGCCATCCGCCGTTGCTATTCTGCTCCAGTGGCCTGACAGGGGGGAGCCTTGTGAGCCATCGACCTGACGGTAAAGTCCGTGACATCTTCGCCCTTGCACGCGACCTGGCAACTGCAAGATCTACTCCTTCAGCGTGCCTTCAGAGGAGGGGACAAAGTTCCACGACCCGCAGGCCCTTTCTCTCCTCAAGACAGTGCACCAGGTCTACCAGTACACTGGGGGGGGGAGACCATCACCTCAACGGTCGTGATGTTGGGTAACGGCCGCGACATAGTGAAGATCATGGTGGGGGAATGCAAGATCTGCAGATACGCAGAAGGGACAGGGACATGCACGGTGGGGATGCGAAAGATACATGATCGGACAGACCCGGCATGCAGGCTGCATGGGGTGACACCGGCAGCCACCAACCCGCCACGAGCTCGAACCAGAACTCCACCAAGCGAGAGGGGACGAGAGGCAGCAGCCAGCCCACAACGCACAACTCTGAGCCGGGGGAGCAGCTCGAACAGACCGCTGGGCGAGATGACTGGGTTTTCGGACGAGAAAAGGCGTTGTGCTACTTTATGAGCCCGACCTGCTGGATGCTTGGATAGGGAGAAGAATCGTCAAGTTGGAAGGGGGAACCTTCACCGACATGGAGTCGGGGAAGACCCTCAACAAGCAGGAGGGGAAGTCGTCCAAGGCGTACCTCAAGCGCCATAAATCTCGCAATGAGGAGGCACGTTTGGCGGACAAGCATAGCCGACAAGTGCCTACCCTTGCAAGCCGACGAGACCCGCGCGTACATTGCGCGCTTTCCCGCGCAGGTAAAAAATTGCTGCCCAAGGCGAGAAAGATCCGGAACAAACTTCGACGAGAAGGGGGACCAGCCTCTACAGTACAACAAGAGCCTCCACCGAAAGGGGACAGGAAGGACAGTTCGCGACCTACAAGTGGAGACTGCGACAGAACACTGGTGCCAGCAGCGGAAGCAACTCAAAGTGAGGCAGTGTGTGCGAGAACAGTGAGCAGGGGGAGTGATCAGTCCTCTGAACCCCGTGGGAGAATATAATGGCACCTTCCGTGAATGCTGACACCCCGCCAGACTGGGGAGGAGACAGCCAGACGGATGAAGACACGCCACAAAACAGCTGGCCATGGGGGGAACAAGGACGTCCCTCCGATCTTGGACGAAGTGATGGCATCCTGGGACAGCGACCAAGCCTGCCTGTGGGGGAACCACCGCAGCCACCTCGTACCCGTGACGAAAGCGGGGGAGTTCGCCTTACTCCTAGCCGCATGTGGCAAGA